CGGTATGTTCTTGATTAATATAATAGGTGTAAAATCTCCAACAGATAATTAATCAGCAACTCACACATGATTTTGCAGCTTTATTTTATTATTTTAATTTTGCAATTGTGTTTCTCTACTATTAATATTTAAGATTGTAGTCTTAGTCCACTTGCTATTATACTATTTGCTGCAATCTTATAAATTCACAATCATATTTTGTTGTTTTCAGTTCACGTCACTAATTTTTTTATTTTTTTTTTCAATTTTATTAGATTAACAAACCTTTTAAAACATATATTACTTGATAAAAAATTAGCATAAAATTGTTTTAGTTTACAGTTTAACTATTGAATAAAATATCATAAAATAATTTCTATAACAAACATGCTTTTCAACTTTTTTGTTTTGAGAAACATTTTTTTCAAAATGACTAATCGAATACATTTTTTTTGTAATTTTAAAATCGACATATAAAATTGAAAACAAAAAATGAATTAAAAACTTATGCAGAACCTACATTTCAAATTGCTTAATATCATTGACTTTGGTTGGTGAATTCATGAAAGTAAATATTTATCAACTAATGATGTTAGCAGCTTTAAAGTACGTTTAAAACGGTTACCAGCTTTAGTACCATTGACCATTTCACATTTTTTTGTTTTTTGGTAATGTAATAGGTTAGTTGAGCTCAAATGGAAGGTTAGAGAGAGGGAGAGAGAGTAAATAATATGGCAAAAAAAAAAAAGCAGTCATTTAAATCGTTGATCCTACCGAAGTTTTTTCCCTCCCCACAAATGTTATATAAACCTTATCCCTTCACTCACAAAATCAACAAACTTTTTATATCCTCTTACTAGATTTAATATTATGCCTAACACACAGAATTTTGGGGTAGTTCTCACCCTTCTGGTGCTTTTCTGCTTCATCTCATTTGGTAATTTTCTTTTTTCATTTTGTTAAGATCTATTCTATAGGGACAGCATTATAGAAGAAATTGTCCATCTAAGGATGTTGATAGACATTTACTCTGTTATTGTTATTTTGACAGGTAGTATGCAAGAAGTTGATCCAAACTTGAAGCAATGTACAAGTGGTATTGAAATAATTTATTTTACACCAGAGCAATGTGTTTCTCTATGTGATGGCTATTGCAAACAAGGTGGATGGTGTGGGGGAAGCTGTGATTTGCCAGTGACTGCTGATTGTTGTTGTACTGGTTGCCCATCGATGTGATTATGTTCCTTGATAGAGATGTTTTGTTTGAACAATAAATAAATATATGGTTTTCTGACATTTGTTTCTTGGACATTTTTTTAATTTTATCTTTTTAGTTTTAGAATTAGGGATGGCAAAATGTAACACCCATATCCTGTCCTATTAGATAATTGGTACAAAAAACATGGTCTTCGCTTCAAAACCATCCTTCGTTTTGTTTTGTTTTATGTTTTTAAAGTTAAATTGAATTTAAAAAATAAATAAATAAACAAGTAAATGAAGTAATAAATGAGAATATTTTAATTTCCACCCAACCCAAACCCAATCTTGCTTCGTCCTCGCCCTACCACTCAAAAAACCTTGACCAGGCAGGACATGGGATTTAGATTAAGATTTAAATGGTTGGATTTATAAATATGTCAACAATTGCTCAAATCAAACCGCTCTCACCCTAGATAAAATATTTAAAAGTGATTAATGTAACGTTTGTAATAAATGATGTTAGATATGTCGGTCGTTGTATAGGACGGCTGACTCATTGTCAATGCACTAATTGTATGATAGACGATGATGTAAAGTCTCGGTTAAAGGGATGAGGCCATTTGGCTCTGATCCAGAAAATATCATGTCAGCCGAAGCACTATAAATATAACCACTTTGTAACTAAGAAAGGGTTGGAATTTTAAACATTGGGCTCTTGAATTCTTGATAAAGCAAGGAATCGTAAACTCTTAATATATAGTATTTCCTTTCTTTATATATTGGAGCTTGATCTTTTAGTTGATTTACATTAGTATTCAATTGGTGATTGTTGTTGGTGCAATCACCCTTGTTTCACTCACCGAATCTCGAACACTTTTGTCTCCCACCATAAAGCAACTCTCGCGTTCACAATTTGCTCCATTTCTTACTAGTATTTCAGTCAAAACGGGCCTAAATTTGCTTGAGTTGGCGTAAGTGGGTCCAATGTCTATTGTTCACGTAAACATCACATTTTTCGAGGTCACATTATTATCTATTAAAGAAAGATTTTTGATAATCATACAATCAGCTATTAATAAAAATAATTCCACACAATTGAAAAAATATCATAGAGATTTTTCTTTACAATTTTTCCGTATCTTCAACACCCTTCCTCAAAATCAATGTAGTAACAATCAAATTGAGTTTAAAAATTAAATTGATCCAATCAAATCTTCATCTTTCAAGGATCAAATGATACTACAAACTGTTCGAATCGTTTTGTACAATTTTGATAACCATGTGTGGGTGGCACTTCCCCCACACCAAAAACAATTAATGGCTTCAATTTAAAAAAAAAAAAAACTTAACCAAGTACTTGACTGAAGAAGACAAATTTAAGAACCTAGTTTGGAAATTCGAGTTATTTTAAAGTTTTTATCTTTTACTGCCAGAATTCATAATCGATATCTAGTAAACTGCACTTTTCCACTTCATTAAGTAATTAATTTCTCCGATGGGCCAATTTTTGGGGAGCCAATCAAGAACTTGTCTTTTGATGACGACATAAAAATGATATGAAACTGCTTATTTCTCTTGAGTGGAAATGTGACGATTCAACGGCACTCTCGTTGAGGTTTAAAAAAACTGTAATTTGTGAAATGAATCGAAGAAAAAGACCCACGAGAATATGTATCTTCATCCATTTGTCAGTAAGCAAAGAAATGGGTATTCGAACGATGAGAAAGAGTTGAATCGTTGGAGAGATTGTTTCCTATCAGAAAGAGAGATTTCCTTCCACATTTCTGTTTGAAATGTTAAAATCTGCAGCATCACTTAATGCTAGACTTCAATGCAAAAATGGATTGGAGATCAGAATTGGAAAGCAATTAGATCAGGCCCATGTGAAAGATCTCTTCATACATTCCCAAGGATACACATGGATAAACAGTATGTTATGGAAAATTTTCAAGAATTTCTACAAAAATTATACCGGTCCAGATGCTTCTGTCGAATTATTAACCAAGCAACTATGAACTATATAATGAACTATTTATCAATTTATCTGCCTGCATCCCTTCTCCATTGCTAACATTCTCACAAAAAATCCCAAGTACATAATACAGGAGAAAAATATACACCAAATCATTTGGCTGGACAAAGAATTAAGCTTGTATGGGCCTAAAGGAAAAGAATGAAACCAAGAGAAGGGAATGTTTCAAGTCAATGTGCCACATAGTTGTATGCAAATATGCAAGGCTCGCAAGAAATTAGAATGTGCTCAAAAAGTTACCATTTTAATGCTCCAAGTCCTCAGCACAATCAAGAGTTTTTCATTTTTGCACCATCGTTAAAAAGAGACCACAATGATAAATAAAACAAAACCATCCAGAATTCTCATACATATCGACCACGCTGGCATTCCGAACAAAATAATGTTTCAAATCTTCCTCAAGAGAAGAAACAACCTTTGATCAAGTCTGAACTTGTACATTTTCAAGGGATCACCTTTCAGCATCAGCTGAAGCCCTCCAAAAGAAATATATACCACCCTATCACCATAAAGATAAAAGGAAGAGAAACTCAAAATCAGTTGAGAAAGAGAAAAATACTGAAATTGTTGAGAAAACTATAGAGCAATAAGGCACCATAAAAAGTATAATCAAATTTCAACACAAAATGAGGCTCTATCATCCTAGATAGCATGTTTGGTAGAAAAGATTGGACAATACAAAGAAAATACATTTCTTTGAAGAAAAGGCGTATAAATCATACACTTTAACAGTGTTGCTTCCATCATTTTGCTTTTCTTTATCTTCTGACATCTTATATAGCAGCCCGTGCATGACATACTCAAATTTGTCCGCAAGTGATTTCTGTTTGCCCTGAAATAGGAGTATAATATTCATCGTTCAGAAAATCAAACTCAGTCTATAATACGGCTATACCGTCCAAGATCTTCCGTAAATTTCGGGTTACTAAATAGGGGTAATCCACATTGAATAGATTATCTAAAACGCCATAATTTGATAACTCATGTACAAAGAACGAAAAGAAAGTGAACCCCAGAAATGTAGCCAGTAACAGCTGAACCGTCTGAATTGAGAGTATGCGATATCACCATCCTATATTTCTCCCCCTGGAGCATACGATACAGCTGACAATGCACGTCTAGTTCCAGATACACGTCCTCATCTTCAGACTGGGCTTCAATGCGCAAAACTGAAACAATGTATTCACAAAACCTTTAGCTCAAGGCCCCATCAGTCTGTTACAATACTAAATCTCCTTAGAGAAATGTACCTACTTGTACAGTTGTAGACAAATAAAGAATAAAGGTTGGTGATAAGCAATTCTTCGTTCAATAATTAGCAGAAAGGAATGTTAAGATACT